TGTTAATAGTTTATTTTTATCAATTAACAAAATGGAAAGTAAATGAACAGAAGAGAAATCAAAATCAAATCAATAATTAGCTTGACCACTTATCAATCCAGATCACCTGCTTCCATTTTTTGTACCCCAGTTCCTATGTGTTCGTGCGTAGTTGAGTCACTTAGCCTTGTTTCCACATTGGAGGTATCGCTTTTTTGGCAGCAGGTGCTCTGGATGGATGAGTCAAAATTTTAAATATTTGGCTGTAACAGGAGGCAGTTTGTTCACTGAAGGGCTGGAGAGCAGTACAATAATGAGTGTCTGCAAGCAACAGTAAAGCATGGTAGAGGTTCCTTGCAAGTCTGGGGCAACAGGAGCTCTGAACTGATAAGTCAAAATTTGTAATTTTTGGCTGTAGTACGATGTAGTTTGTTCACCGAAGGACTGGAGAGTGGTACAATGAATGTATGCAGGCAACAATAAAGGATGGTGGAGGTTCCTTGCAAGTCTTGGGCTGCACATCTGTTAATGGAGTTGGAGATTTGTTCAGGATCAATGGTGTCCTCAGTGCTGAGAAATACAAGCAGATACTTATCCATCATACCCATACCATCAGGGAGGCGTGTGATTGGCCCCAAATTTATTCTGGAGCAGGATAACAATCCCAAACATACAGCCAATATCCTTAAGAACTATCTTCAGCGTAAAGAAGGAGTGCTGGAAGTGATGGTTTGGCCCCCACAGAGCCCTGATCTCAACATCATCGAGTCTATCTGGGATTACATGAAGAGACAGGAGGTTTGGAGGCAGCCTACATCCACAGAAGATCTGTGGTTAGTTCTCCAAGATGCTCGCAACACGCTAGCTGCTGAGTTCCTTTAAAAACTGTGTGCAAGTCTACCTAGAAGAATTGATACTGTTTTAAAGGCAAAGGGTGGTCACACCAAATATTGATTCAATTTGGAATTCTCTTCTGTTCATTTACTTTCCATTTTGTTAATTGATAAAAATAAACTATTAACACTTTTATTTCTGAAAACATTCTTACTTTACAAAGGATTTTTCATACCTGCCTTTGCACAGTACTGGATGGCGAACATGTGCCACTGACTGCCAGTTGCACTCTAATTGATGTCCCAAAAGTATCTCCACCAAGGTCCACCAGCCTAACATACCATATTACTACTAGTCCAGGAGGCATTTTTACCACTGTCTCTAAGCCCAGTTCTTCCCTGCCAATGGTACATAAAGGAATAATTTGAACTGCTCCACCTCTGTATTGATATGAGGCTAGGAAGAGCCTGTGCACTGCACCTGCGACACACTAATCGCATGTACAATGCTCTGCAGGCTTCAGTGCAAACAAATAGCAATTGTACATTGAAGATGAGATCAGTGTTTCTGCATTTACTAACTTTTGCAAACATAGTAGTATTAGATAGATAGATAGATAGATAGATAGATAGATAGATAGATAGATAGATAGATAGATAAGACTGTAAGTATAGTATGCATTAACCATTTAGCAAATCAACTGCAAGTAAGACAACTATTTGTATTTGCAGGAAATTTACCTGAATTGTTTATTATTATTCTATTATTTTCCCTTTAAAAAATACATGTTAATATCAACACTTGGGCACTAATTAACTAATATGGCTAAGTTGCAGTTCTTGATACTTAAAATTTCCATTTTCAAGCAGAAAGCAAATAATACCAAATGTAATTCTACACTAAGGCAGATGTTTTAAAATGCATTATTCATAGACTGTGATGATGAATGAAGACATCTTTTTCTACTTACATTATCATTGTACTCTTTCATGTGAGTGAGACACAAGTTGTTGCTGCTCCTGTGATCGCTCATTCGTAAGACTGTTGAGTCTTACTTTAGATCACATGAAGATGAGCAGATTAAAAGGGTTGTCATATTGGGATTAGCAGGCAGAAACCAGCTTCCAGGTTGAGGTACTGAAGTAATGTACTGGATTACCACTACACTGTGTGAGTTTACTTATGTAGCTGTTCCATTATTGTTAGGAGAACACTAAAAATCCATTATACTGTGATATTACTCTTTCGAGATTTCCTCTCCATCCTTTTGTGCATAACAGGAAGTAAACTGATATCATACCAATAGGTAAGATACTACTATTACTACTATCACTACTACTACCACTAATAATAATAATAATTAATGTTTTTATTTTTTATGTCAAAACTAAATGTTACTAAAAAAGTAGCGTGATTCTGTAAAAAAAAATCACTTGCAATCAATCACATGGATTGGAACACAGTGCCTTTTTATTGGTAAATGTTTTTTTTTATGCAATCACATGACCAATAGCAGGCAGGTAGCCATGTTTTGTTCTTACCTTTAAATAGGCATCTTCGTTTGTTGCACATGGTTACATACAGCTGCTTGCCTTTCTGTGACTTTGTGTGCTCCTTGAGTATGTCCTGGTGGACATCCTTGCCTTTTTAAAACCAATTGGTCACATGGACAGCAATAGCAAAAACATTTACATAATGGCTCATGCTTACAATTTTTTAGTACACTGTACTGCAATTGTGTTATTTTTGTAATTGGTTGATCAAAAATCCCATGTGTAGCACTGACTTTATGCTGATGAAAACCATAATATTGCACAAAATGGCAGGGGTGGCTGTAAATTATTATTTTACAGAATTTTGTCATTGATGTATACATTTTTTATAAGGTATCACTGAGATTTGATCTGGTGCATCTCAGTCTGCATAGCAGATTTTGGTTGGTATTTAGGATTCTCCTGCCAATTCCTTCCCGTTAAACCATTTTGCTGAACTAATCGTTCTAATGGTTTTAATACCTCACAAAGCATGTCATATTAAAGAGTCACAGTGAGGCAAAGTACCAAAATCCAAGTTAATCTTTGAACAGTAAATACAAGACAGACTAACTATTTAACTTTGCTTTTAATAGGATTGTTTTTTTTTACCAACTCAAAGCTGTGGAGTGTTTAAGGACAAGTGTCTATGGGCATATCCTTAACAGGTACATTTATACTGTACAGTCTTTTACACCCATGCAGATGGAATAAATGCATATTAATAGTTGTGCTATCACACTTACTTATGTGCATAAACACCTTGATGTGCATTAGAATACATCAACAAAATTATTTTGCTCTAGAAACAATCAGGGCCCATTCACACTTAAAGTGGAACTCCATTTTTTTCTTTTCTAAGAACCCTGTGTTAAAGAAAAAAATTGTGTCATCTTCATGTACCCTTTTCACGCTCCAGTGCTGTCTCTGGACATCTTGTTCAGTCCTGGAGGGTCTTATTCAGGTCTCAAGTGCCTAGAGTTCTGCTTTAAATATTCAACTGTGATGCATTACTAAGCACACATTAATGTGTGTTACAACATAAGGCAGCCCATTTAGTATAATTGGTCTACCAACACACTACAATGGATCAAAAAATGTGCATGGCTCTTTTGTTGGCAAAAGAGTGCACCACAATGCTCATACAACACTATTGTGTGTTGAGCTCCACTGTATAATACATAGGGGAAGTATTTACAATGAATGGCACTGCAACACACACAGAGTGTTTTCGCAATGCTTTTCCATGCATGGCGAAAACACGCATTAGCACATGCATTTAAGTGTGAGTGGCCACAATACACTAGTGTGAATGTGCCCTCAATATAGTAACCTTGCATACTGAAGTTTTTCCAGATGCAAATGCTGTAAAAATGTACAAATTGAAGATACCTGATACTAACACTGATGCATTATGATCCATTTCTACAAATCTGAAAATGTGCACTACTGAAACGTATGGTGTTGCTTGCAGTATTTTATACAAATACACTATGCTGTGGTACATTGATGTGAACAGCCTTCATTCAGATTTGTGGTTTTTCTACATGTCTTGGGTTTTTCTGCAGTAAATGCAGATTGAAATGGCCTGTATTTTTAAGAGGTCCACTAAATGAGAATTCCACATCCCTAATGTCATCATGGTATTTTATTATGCTTCCTTATCTTATAGTTGCTGTCCTTTAAATATAATTTACAGATAAACCTTGTTACTAGGTGAGCAAACCAAAGTGAGTAGCACTCTGGGATGTTTCCCACATAATTCCTGGGATGTGATTTGAACATTTGTTTTACCTGGGTAGTGTATGGGAAATATAATTGCATTTAGAAGTGTTTTAGATTAACAGAAATAAAATATGTATGAATTCTGTTGGGTTGATAAAAATTAATTTAGAAAAAACCCTTTTCTGGCACTGCTGACTAAAGTGTCACCCTTGTCAGCCTTATTTATTGTAAGATAAGCAATGTTTTTGGTTTGTTTTTCCTTCAGAGCACACACTGTGGCTGATTTACTAAAGGGGTGAAGCCTGTTCAATTGGTTTTACAAGAGCTTTATCGAAAATTGACAAGTTAACACAAACAGTCACACTGCAATGGTGTAACATGAACAGATTAAAAGATATGCAGAAAACCAAGAATAATTTTCTGCTGTTGCCTTACAAATGAAAGGAAACTTTTGATTACTTGCTATTTACATACACAAGCTTCACCTCTTTTTGTTATGTCCTATAATCCTAAATTACAATAACCTTTAGCTTCCATCTAACAAAAATAAAGGTTTGAATTCACACATGCAGAAGTAAATTCTCTATTTCGGGTTAGAAAGTGAAAGTTTGTATCTGACAGGTTGGTATGCTCAAGACCAACTATTTTCCCTAATTTCATCAATTGTCAGTATCCCAAGTAAAAACATCAACCAACAATGACAGCATCAATATATGTTCTATATGCCTTGAGTAATTAAAACAGGTATGTAAACTTGCACTATAAAGCACACAGTACTTTATTCTTTCTCAGTCTGTAACTTGAGCGATACTCTGACTAAACCTTTGAAACCCATTGCAGGAATTTTTCCTGGCAACCAAGACCTAATAGGACGTTCCAATTCAAAGTCCACCTGCTTCACATTTCCTGGGTAGAGCCTTGTACACAGCTCCACTGCTTCCTCTGTCATTGTAGGCATAACTATTCAGAGCAGAGGAGCTGGTTTGGCTACATTATCTCACCTTTTCATAGCAGTACTTCACTGTGAGCAGGAATGCAGCATGGTTTGCGCAAGAGCATTCGGTTTATGATCACAAACTTATCTTTCACTCAGAAACATGAAAATTGGGCATGAAGTTGCCGGAACCCTCTAATAACAGTAGCCTAAAAGAGTTGTGAAAATAATTCAACTGCCACTGCAACATCTTGGACTACAGAGCTCCCCAAAGTAGAGGGAAACATGGACAATAAAGGTATGTTAACATATGCACAGTCTGTTCAGATTACAAGGGTATTGTGACTGTAATCTTGATAATGTTGAGAATGGATTTAGGGAGTGGTAGTGACATTTCGTTTCTGAATTGAACTGAGGCTTCCGTAATAAGCAGTAGAGATGCAGAAATATAAAGTAAAACATTTGAAAATGTGTCTTGTTAGCAATTGTATTGTGTTTCTCATTTTGTCTTCAGGTCTTGTTTTCTTTTGCTGTTTAATTACATGGTTTTATTATTAATAGGAAAGTAGGGGTGGAGGAAATACAAGGACGTAGTTTGCTCAGTTAACCATTTGGACTACATGTATTTGGATGTTAAGAAGTGACACTTGACAGGAGTTCAGCTTCTGCCAAGCTCCCCACGAGTGTTGAGTCTGAAAGATGTACTGAACTGAGCAAGGTGTGCATCGGGCATTGCATTATTCTGCACTGATCTGTATGTTGAATGCAATGTACAGGCTACACTAAGCCACACATCTAAATGGTTACCTCCATTTGCCCCCACCCCTCCACTTCCAGGAAGGATGATAGCAGGGTGGGCTATGTGGAAGCTGAAGCAACATGAACATTGAGTACTTATTCTCATCCACTGCCTTTGTGAATGTAACCTCAGGCTGTACTCAGAACAGCACCAGCATAATTGTCATACCAGTGGTGCATCAATAATGGTGGTAGAGGTAACAGCTGCTCTACAGACCATAGCTTCTGTTGGGGACCACGTCTGACACTGATTCAAGAATGTGTGTTTCTTTCACCCTTAAAGGAGAACTATGGGGTTAAGTCTTTTCCCCATAGTTCTCCTTAGGGTTACGGGAGGACACAAACTAGCGTCCTCCCGTCACCCTAGGCTCAGTATACTGCGAGCTGTAGCTCGCGTTATACTGAGACGCCGCAGCTGAAGCGGATCCCGACAATTGTGCCGGGATCCGCCCAGCTGCGTGACTGACAGCTGGCTCTGCCTATCTAAAGGCAGAGCCAGCTGTACCTGCCCCCTCCCCCGTCCGTTCCGCCAGTCAGCGCTGGCGGAGCGGGGAGGGGGGAATCCAGCCCCTCCCCTGTCACGGCAGAGAGCCGTGACAGGATCGAGAGGGGAGCGAACGCCGGTATGTGTTCGCTCACCTCCCGATCTACTGAGCTGACCTGTGACAGTCTCATTGTCACAGGTCAACTAGAACTATGAGGTGACTGAAAAGCACTCACCTCACTCACACTCACCATTATGTGTTTTTGTCAACTAGGAGACACATTTTCATGCACACAACTTTCAACATTGTTTTAGGTATTTGTGTGCAAAGTAGATGTTATTAGTAATTAAGCAAAGACTTTACTACACTGAATAATATGGAGTTTATAAGTCAGAGTATACACTGCTGGAATAAAAAAAAAAAAGAGCTTAAAGAGATCTCCCAAAGCTGTCCAATGTTCCTAACAAGCTTCCTGCCTTTGGAACCCCTCTAAATAAAATGATCAAAACTTATTCCACGGGTGCAGGGACAGAGTTACTGGGATTCTTCCTAGCCCAGAACCTGAATAGTTAATGGACTTTATTTCCTAAATAAATAACTGCAATACTCTAATTTAAAGGGCTATTTAATTATCTCTGCTCCGAAGTCCTCTGCTGCCCTTTATCATTGTTGTGCAGATGAGAAAAGCAAAAGGTGATGCCATACAGTATTATAAAATGTAAAATTTGAGCATGCAAAGTAACTATACTCTCATTTACAACTATCCAGGATCAGAGAAGAAGAAAGAGGGAGAAGGGTCAAAAAAGTCTCCATTTGATCTGATCTTCAGCCAGATACAAAGGAAAAAGTCGGACAAAGGAAAAAGCAGTATATTCCAGGTGAAGAGTTTCTTCAAAGGCTTTGATAAGGATGCGGCAAAGATGGAGAATGAAAAGAATGAAGAGGAACTTAACCAGAAGTCTATATCTGAAAATCAAAAGTCAGACAGTGTGGTTGATGGTGCTAAAGATGGTGAGAACCTGTCAGTAACATGATTTTTATATGATTATAACACAATAGGAAACCCCCAACAAGGTGTAAGGTTTCAATAATGTATTCAAATATGTTACAGTGCACTCTAAAATGAGAGGAAATCATCTTTAAAAAGTGTGGTCTTTCTTTTTACAGTGAGACTATTCATTTAGATTCCATTGTATGTGGGAAGATTGTGTTTGCTACAAATTGTGTGAAATGTTTGTTATGTTCAAGAGAAAAGGGCAGACTTAAAAATTATATGTATATCAGGTGACCCAACACTTTATACGCTATGTGGCAGTGTGTGGCAATGCCACGGTGTAATCTCAATTTCTGAGTCCATATTTTGAAAGTGTGCAGCGCCTGCTGATGGCACAAGTGTGCGCAGCCTTTAAAATAAAGGTGTTGGGAAGGGTTCAGGGCTCCACCTGGGAGACAGGAAAACTCTACCCAGGAGTCAGAGTGGAGTCCAGTGCAGCAGGGAGCCGCGGGTTGCAAAAAAAGTGTGCAGGATAGCACAAGAATGAGACGGTCTGGAGGAACAGACAGTGGCTTGAGGTCTGAGGCCGGAGCAGCGGTGCTGCAAATGCAAAGCCAGGAGGCTGGATGTGCATGTGTTTCCAGGAGATGGTAAAGAACCCCTACGAGGGTAATTGCATTGTTTTTGTGAACTTTCATTTAATAAAGTTGGGTAAGGGGGCCCTTAAATGAGTTATTGTTTGAAGCTAATTTTCACAATTGGTGGAGAAAGCATTGGGCTAAGTGAGGTGAGCTAAGGCCTGCAGGACAAGGGGAAAAGTCTTTAAAGAGACAATGCTCTAAGAAAATTTTTATCTGGACTGTGAAACAGTGTGCAAAGTTCCAGTTGATTGTACAAATAGATTGTCTGCTAGGATGGGGCAGTCAAAGAAAAAGGACTATTATGATAAAATGGTCGAAAGAGTTTGGTGGCTGGAGGGTTGGTTAACACCTGTGGAAGCTGTACAGGTGCAAGGAGAAGTTGTGCCAGATAATGAGTCTGTTGTGGATGGTGCAAGAGACATTTGGCAGTGTTGACCCCAGCTACTACAGAGGAGAAGCCCACTCAGACTGCCAGGAGAGAGCGAGGGGCTTAACAGAGGTCTAGCAGGTGTGCAGTTGTTGGTAGCAATGCCAGTGAACGCAAGGTTGCTGACCACATGCCATGGAGATCACCTGCAGAGAAATTGTGCCGAGCAAAGATGCCTGGAGAGAAGATCCAGCACAGTCGAGAGAGAAAGCGAGTGTCCACAGGGAGATTTCCATCTCCCAGAGAAAATAGAGAAAGAGGGAGAGTGTCATCTCCTGTAGCAACCGGAGAGAAAGTGTTGTCAGGAGAAAGATTCCTGTGTGAAAGAGAGTTCCAGCAAGGAGCCATTGGGAAAGCGTAATTTCCCATAGCAACCAGAGAGAGGAACTACAGCAAAATCGGAGTGAGCTACGGCATGCTTGGGAAGAGATGGAGAGAAATCTTCAAGGTGAAGATGTGCCTGCACCATGCACAGTGTGTGATCAGTGGGGGCATTTGATGGTGACATGCCCTGAGCTGTGGGGTCCACTACAGCCTACACCGTGTTTTGGATGTGGCCAACTGGGCCATAAGTCGGTAACTTACCTCTTAGGTTAAATGATTGCTTTCCTTCCCCTTTGCTCAGCAATGCCTGGTCTGGGGACTGGGTTTAGCCGCAGCATGTCACACTTCCTGGTGAAGTAGTTTCTACCTTTTTACGCACTTCCTTTCAGCCCATGCAGAGTGGAGTTGTCACGATACCGTGCACTGGTGTCCCCACACCGCATGCATGTATCTATTCAGGAGGACCAAATGTGTGACCACACCAGACAGTGCTTAGAAACTTATAGTTTATTAAACACAAAAACACAAGCAACCCCACCAACACCCACAATTAACATAAAGTCACCAAACTAGAAGCGAACAGCAAAATCATACACAGACGACAACAGGGCAAGCATACCTGGGGAGCAGGGCAACAAGAGGGGAGCCACAGATCAATAGTCAGGGTTCAAGGAGGCTACAGGATACTGGAAACAGGATACAGGTTAAGGCAACAGGTCACAGGAACCAAGATACAGGTTAAGGAAACAGGTCACAGGAGCCCTGGAAGTGCAGGACCTGGTTCCAGAGTCAGAATGCCACCTGGAGGCGCTCAGGTCCCCGACAGCCACTGGCTGCCTGGAGACACCTGCATGTGAGCACTGGAAATGCAGGGTCTGCTCCAGCGCTAACTGGAGGTGTTCTGGTCCCTGACAGGAGTATGCTGAGGTGCAGAGCAGATGCTTAACTGACAGTGCACTCCACTCTGCATGGCCCGTGGGGAGGGCATAAAAAGACTGAAGCGGCATCACTAGGACTAGGACTAGTGACATGCTGTGGCTTAGCCCAGCCACTGACCTGTGCATTGCTATAGGGAAGAAACACAGTCAAGTGACCTAAAAAGAGAAGATAAAACCAAGGTATTTATATAATTATTTTTTAAAAGTGTGCTCTTTAAATTGCTGGTGGTGAGCCCTATCCATTTAAGGTATGATAAATATCTGGGTTTATAACACTTAAAATGTTTATCACTCTGTCCCTGAGTCTGTCTGATTTCAGTCTGACTGAACAAGGACTGTAAAAACTATAGGCACCTTAAGATGACATTGAGATGAAGTAGATACCCTTGAATTACTGTTTTAATCGAATATTTGGCGAAATCTCCTGCATTTAAATTTATGGATAATTTCTATACATATACATTTGTTCTACATTGTTCTACAGAAGAGGATTCAGACACCTCTGGATGGTGGAAAGTGACACATTTTATGGAAAAATTTGGGAAGAAAGCAGATATCCACTACATGGACCTGAATAACTGTGAACTGACAGCTGTTGACATAAAAAAGCTTGGTACGTAGAACAATGCACAATTCAGCAGTTACACTGTACACAAGGCAGTAAAAACAGAGGAAGAGTTTTGCGACTCAAGTGCAAAAATATGTATCCTTTAAAGAGTAACTCCAGACAAAACTATTTTCTTGTTTTGGGGGCGAGAGGAAGCATTAAAATATATGACCTGCTTTAATTATTGATCAAAAGAAACAAAGCGCTAAAGGTAGCCGTATGAGCAAAAAAAATTAGCTATAATTGATTCTGGCAAGGTCAGTAGGAAGCTAATATAAAAGTATAAAACAGAACTAGCTTCATAAATAAGTATAGATAAAACCAGTCTAACCAAAATACAGAAATCAATTAGAACCACTAAAATGCTTTAATTATTGCCTGTGTCACCGCTTTGGATAGTCACAGAAAGTGAAGTAACTTGTTAAATGTTACAGTTGTCACCAATATAGAACACATATTTCCTGCTGGGTTTCCATCCGAAGAAGTAAGGGGAAATCTTCCAAGTGGGTGCAGAGCAAGAAGAAAAAACAACTGATAGATTATAACCCTTCCACACTCCAGGCTAGTAAAAAAGATTTGTTCCATTTTAAGTTAAGCTAACCTAATCACAGTATGCAGTATATAGAGACATGTCCCCTCTGACATATTTGATTATAAAATGTTTAATTCTAGTGATGATACCATAAAGCTGCCTGACAAACCCGACTGTGAACCTGGACAATCGTGTCACAAACAATTGCCAATAACCGTACAGTATGTGCAACGCATTTAAAGGGATTGAACCAGAAATGTTCTGAAGTATTCTAGTAAATTTGAATAAAGTTGTGGACTGTGTTCTAAAGCAAGAAACATTCTTTAATGTTGGTTTGTAGTTCCCTCACTCATTGAAAACACCTTTTGTTTGTTCTTTATCTCACGAAGTCCAGAAGAATATGAGATACTATAATGTGAACAGCAAAGAAGTTGTGTAAAGATCAAACTCTGCTGTTTGTTTGCTTATCCAAAGCAATCTAAGCACATCCATTGTAAAAGTAATTGACATGTTTGCGTGTCTTCCCCAGGTTCACTGATGCCATTTCTCCTAGACATTGAAGAGATTAATCTTTCTTGGAATGATTTGATTGGTGGGTCTTTAAAATATATGACTCCACACTTTAATCATGTAAGCAGACTAAGGATACTCAACTTAAGCAACTGTGGTCTCACAGGTGACGATAGTGCTGTTTTAGGTAAGTATTTCTTTTAGCAAAATTTTGTAGTTTAGTATATATCAGTGGTATATATGTATATAACAAGGTTATATAAATATCCAATTAGAGCACATGTTTCTGAGAGGGATAACTTCTGGATCCTGAGTAGCATAGTTAAGAACAACCAATATGTGCTGGTGGTCCTTGGCGGTCTTCAGCAGTGGCCTGGCCACATCCAAAGCAGACCCTCTCACAAATAGACCTCAATTATCGGCACAGGAACCAACAGATCAAACAAAATTGGCTGGGGTGCATAATTTGACAATCAGGGCAATATTAACAATATTTCTTAATTGCGTTGTAAAAACCAGGCCAAAAATGACCACCCAACAAATGAAAAACCATCCCTGTGTGTGACTGGGGAACCACCAGCTGCTACACAACTTGCTCCCATTCCTTCTTTACAAAGTAGAGTAAGTTATGGTATAACTGGGGTTATAATGACAATCAGCATGGGTTCAGTTAATGACAATCAGCATGGGTTCAGGAAAGACCGTTCCTGCCTAACTAACTTGCTAACTTTTTATGAGGGGGAGCGTATGGGGCTTTCCATGCATTTGACAAATTGTGATCCTGCAGCTGCCTAACACGTGTGTAAACGTCTCTGATTTTATCAGTGAAACAGGTCAACAATTTTAATGTCAAATGACTGAAAGTTCTCACTTTGTGTCAGATAATTTACCCAAAATAAATATTCTAAGCAAAAGTGTTACTGTGATGGAAGTGCTGGACAAAAGATGGGGCAAGATGGAAAGTAGTAGTTACAAATGATCATCTAACTTAACCCAAGTGAGAACTGAGAAGAGAGTGTGAACACTATTTATGAACAGCAATACAATGATATATTACATTCAGTGATGAGTTTAGCGTGCACTCTTTCAACAAGAAACACACTACGCACTGCAGAAAAATAAAAAGGTTCCAACTCAGCTCCTATTTCAGGTCTCTTAAAGCCATATTTAACATTTTCTGTCCCAAAAGCTGATTTATGACCAAAATTTCGGAATTTACAGGTATAATAAAATAGGATTAATTGCCTTTGGTTACTTCTAGAGCCTTTATATTTTCCAGCAGCTTTATATAATATGTGCATCTACTGTGTTCAATTATAAAACCCTTTACTTTCACTAGTCAATGTTATAAATAAATAGTAGCTTGCGACATATGTTTTTATTGGCAGTAATATCTTGTA